TGTATGTAAGGGTTTGCTGTTTCAGTTTTTTTCTTGTGTTTGAAATATCTCAAAAACGGCTGCACATACATAATAGATAATCATAGTGAGTGTTAGGTATAAATCCAATAAGAAATTATTACATTTTGGTGACTGTCCTAAGTAGGGTGTGGATGTGAGGAGCATTTAAAAGACTTTGTCCTAGACAAGATATCTCAAAAACTAAACTGATATTATAAATACAAGATATTATACACTGCATGGTAAAATCAGTTAAAATAATGTATACATTATAATAGGCCTACTAATATTTCGGATATTCAGATGATAAAAGCATACAAAATCATCGAATGGACCTTAAAGGACGATGGTAATTTTATTCAGATTGGCCTTATCATGTTTCAGAGCACACCATAATTTGTGGTATCTAAGTGACACTTTATTAAAAACAATCAATGATTTTGTTACTCAAATGTCATTATATTGGTATTTTTAAGCCTATTAGATTACCTGAAGAAAAAGCGATCCAGAAGTTATTATGGCAAAATTAAACTTTTGTTCGTCTCTGAATTTTAAGTTTTACTGTAATAAAGCCTATTATTAAATAGATACTTATTTATATTGTCAAAGCTACACTGATGAACTTAGATCAATATATTCATGATTAAGCATGTAACGCACGCAACTATTCAAATTAAAAATGTGTGTGCAAAATATTAATCACAATATTTTTTGGCATTGTCTTATAATTAAAGTCTTTTCATCTTTACACGGGCGGATCCAGAGAATTTCTGACAGGGGGGTGGGTGCACAAAATGAAGTTAACACCGCCACGCCCACCTCAGCCCCACCACGGTTGGTGTAAATAAGTAGTAACTAATCAAAATCTCCTTTCACCCACTGCTGGATTGCCACTGAACTCATTGGTGCACTCCTTTTTTTCCCTCTTTCCTCCCTTTAACTAAAATTTTTCTCTCTTTTTTATATTTTTCGGCTTGACTGACGGTTGGGAACGGGCCCTCATGGTCCCATAGTATGCCATAATAGGAATTTACTGGACAATACTGTATATGAAAAACTGCACAGTTTCTGATATGTATGCACTGTAAAACATTACTCACCATTGGCAAAGCTTTTAAATGATATCAAACACGACAACTTTTATTGGTCTATATCTCTGTAAATATGTAGTATGTTGTTTAGGTGTAATGAAAATAAATGATCAGTGTATATTTCCCTTTCCATTGACACTAATCATGACCATGTTTTATGTGGTGCGTCAGCCATCTTGAAATTCAAAATGGCAGCTGATGATGGGAGAAAAAATGTCACCTACCTTTTCAATTTCAGCGCACCAAAAATGATAAAGTTAGTCAGTAAAATTTATTTTGGCATCAAAATCTAGCTTCTTTGCATAGCAAACTGTACTAGTAGCTTATATTCTTATTCTTGTTTTGTATATTTTAAATATATTTTGCGATTACTTTTAAAACAAATAAACACCAGTTTTTGCATATGTTGAGTGACAGTAGTTATATTATGTCTGGGTTGTTGCCTGTCTAGAAATTATGAGTTTAGACACTAAAATCCTATCTGCAGCTTAGCTATGTTTATTGCTTCTAACATTCCGCTCTCCTCATTTTTTTCCTGGACTAATACTCATGGTAAATGGCATTAAAAAAATTGTCTGATTGTGATGTAGATATCTTTACCAGAAACAACAGTACTATAATATGAATTTTAATATTAAAGATAAAATATAAGTTGTAGACTTCAGAATTTCAATTATTAATCATTCAAAAATGACTTTAAAGTGGGGACAGAAAGTGAAACACATGATGTACCATCCTCTGCCACCTTTGAAGATACATCTGAACAGTTATCAAGCGATGAACAGAAGACACTGCTAGTGGGATCAAGTGAAAGTGAGTTTAGTTATTTTAGTATTAAATTGTTGCTTTCATTGTTGCTGTGTATTACTGTAGAGCAAAACAAATTTTATCCTTCTTAATTTTACCTTATAATAGAGACTCAAAAAAGTGAGACATCTGATTTACCATCACCTGCCACCATTGAAGTAAAACCTGAAAAATTACCAACTGATGAGCACAAGACACAGCTAGTGGGATCAAGTGAAAGTGAGTTTAGTGAAATTAGTATTATATTGTTGCAGTAGCTATAGAACAAACACTAATTTATAGTTACAGTATTTCATTATTATAGTTGTTGATGATTTACAGTAGCTCTTGCTCTGCAGTAGCAGTAGAATAATAAAATAAACATATATTATCCTTCTTAATTTTCAGCAATAATGGAGACTCAGGAAAGTGACATGCCTGATGTGCCATCCATTATGACCTTTAAAGGGTCATCTGGAAAATTGTCAAGTGATGAAATCAAGATACAGCTAGAGGGAACAAGTGAAAGTGAGTTTAAATATTTAAATAATATTTTTTGGTTTCTTTGCGTAGCAGCAATATACGTCTTTTCAAATCAAACATCCTTTTTAATTTCCACGTGCAATAGGAGACAAAAATATTACACATCAGATATGCCATCCACTACCCACTCCTGAACATATTTAGCAGTTCCATGGCTAAAGGCCTGTTTATACTTGCAACGATAATGATAAAAAGCTAAAAAGTGGGAACAAGTGAATATGAGTTTAATTATTTCACTATCATAGTAGTTGTTGTTGATGATGCTCATGCTCTGCAGTAGCAGAAGATTAAAACAAATCCTTCTTAATTTACAGCTATAACAGAGATTCAAAAAAGTGACATGCCTGATGTGGCATCCACTTTGAGCCAAGAAGGAACACCTGGAGAACTGTCAAGTGATGAATACAAGGCTGAGCTAGTGAGACTAAGTGAAAGTGAGTGTTTAAAGATTTCAATGTTGTTATTATTATATTGTTTTTTTATTTTTAGTTATTCTGACGTATAACACCAAATTGTGTTTCTTGGAAATGTATTTGAACATTAACCACAGATTATTTAATAATTGAGGTCCATGGTACCAAATGGACTAGATATTTATCCTCAATGGCTATGTAAAAAAAAAATCAAATATTTTAAGATATGTCACACAATAAAGAAATTTAAAAAAAAAGTTCTGTGTAAAGTAACTTGGATGTTTGCTTGATAATGATATTGCTGGTAAATCCATGATTTTTTCTGTTATCAAGAAATCAATGGTGACCTGAAATTTTATACCATAACATTAATTTTCTTAATCAAGGCACAACAAATTATTAAGCCATAAAGCCACCATGTAATGTAAACTACAATGCTTATTTTTTTGCTATTTTTTTTGCTGTTGAACAGTCATCTTTATCTATTTTATCCATTGATATCAGTACAATCATCCAAATGCATCAGCATTTAATATCATGTCATAATTATGTTTAAGTTTTCTCTTTTGTGATAAATCTCATCATCCTCTTTCTTTTCATGATTTTCTTTATTTTTCTAAATGCTTTTTCTTTTATACAATAAAATAGCGACCAATGAATATAATGTTATAACATTAAATATCATTAGATTTAAGTGTCATTTATGTTTTATTTACCAACTGCCTAATTACTGCTGTTACAGGCTGAGGCTATCGGCAATGCCACAGTGCGAAAAAAAACCTGCTGTTTTCTATGAGCACTGCCACAGTGTGTAAAAACTGCTGTTTTCTATTGGCACTGCCACAGTGCGAAAAAAGCTGCTGTTTTCTATCGGCACAGCCACAGTGTGAAAAAAGCTGTTATTTTCTACCGGCATTATTGCCGCAGTGCGAAAAAAGCTGCTGTTTTCTATTGGCACTGCCACAATGCCAAAAAACTGCAGTTTCCTATTGGCAATACCACATTCAAAAAGCTGTTGTTTAATTAAATCATAATGGATGTTTTGAATGATAGAGGACATTATTGTATCAATAATTGATTAGGTCTAAAATAATAATAATAATACCAGTAATAATAAGAGCTTGAATAATACTTTAATGAATTAATAATACTTTAATAATACTTTAATAGGCATATATATACGATAGCTTGATTAATGAGAGAATAATGAATCAGCATATTAAATCAACACATATGAACACAAGACACAGCTATTGGGATCAAGTGAAAGTGAGTTAGCTCACTGTTGTTGCAAGTTGTTGCTCTTGATCTGCAATAGCAGTAGTAGAATAAAACAAAAAACCATATCTTTTTAATTTTCACTTATAATAGAGATTCAAAAAAGTGGCATGCCATATGCGTCACCCTTGGAGAAATATTTGAAGAACTGTCAAGTGATGTTGTTTGGTATATTTTTCAAGTTGTTTCCAGTAGGAATTTTTCTTCATCTGTCAATAAACCCCAACTATTGAATAAATCTAGGCCTCATTCTGCAGCCCAAAACAACAGATATTTGCACCTTATGTACTCTTGTAATTTTTCCATAGGGCCTGTAAACAATAGTTCACATTGCTGCTTCCACAGCTACTGTGTATTCTGGTCCTTCAGTTAGGATGAGAATGACAGTGGAGTATGTATTACGTGTCAGTCAATTTGTTGCCCATGGTCTTGTCAAAAATAATCACTGATTATTATGGAATAGTAGTAGTCCCAATTTATAAAAAAAGGTGATAGAAAGGATTTAAATAGCCTCATACTAAGCCTCAGCATTTTGTGATAGGCCATTGCTAATAAATATTTGTAAATCGTTTTTTATCAATAATCAACTTTAGCACAATTTTTTAGGCCTTAATACAAATAGAATACACTAAGTGTTGTACCATTATGATCTATTATGCGCTTGAGGAGCAGGCAGCTAAGGAAAGGATTATTTTCCTCTTAAAATTGTGCTTTTTACCTTAATCTGATTTGATTGTGTTTAATGCGTCCGTGAAGGTTTGTGGAAGTTTTCTGTGGAGTTTTTTTGGAATTCCTGTGTTTTTTTTAAAGTATTGTGATCGTGTTATTTTTGAGCTGTTTCCTAGCACTGGCTTCGTTTAATCAAAAGACATAGCTAGTGACTAACACCCTTGGATTTACTATTGTTCTAAGCATTGCATGCACAGACTAGCTCATAGTGAACCGAACCCGCTGGTGTTACATAACCCACATTGCAGATGAAGGGAGTGTCGTAAACTAGTGCACGCAAGGCCGGCTGAGTACTCCCTGTATTCTTGTTCAGTGTCTGTTACTACTGTCATTTTTTAACTTTGTTTCTGTAGCTGCATTTCAACGTTTTTGATATTTTTGTATCTGTAGATATTTTAGAAGATTTTGAAATTTTAAAGTGGATTTTAGCCCTGAAGTAGGCCCTTTTGCGCCAAGCAGCATTAAAAATATATGATTTACACAATTAGCGAATTTTATAAAATTGGCCAACGGTGTACAGCAATTTCAGTCAAAGATTGTATGTCCGGGAAGAACTGTCATTCAAGATATGGACTGATCTTCACCACGAATCACTTGAAAGTATTTGGATAACGATCCACCCTAAACGCTTGCCTCATAAAGTTGCGAATGTTTCTTTTGGTCTTTATATCACCCAGAAAGTAGCATAAATAATGATTGGGAGATGGTTTCCCACATAACACAAAGTTTAGGCCATATATGTTGCAAACATCATGAAACGGGTATTATCGTCACATGACTTTAACAAAATGAGAGACTATCTGCTTCTGAAGTATCCCTTAAAACAGGTTGTTAAGGTCGCAACCAGAGAAGCCACATCACTTGATTTGATATACACTAATATGAGTGAATTTTATGAGGCCCTATAAGAGAATCACCGCTTGGTCTGTCTGACCATCACAGCGTTGTTGTTGTTTTTTTCACCCATCACAGGATCTCCGAATATCGTCACTTACCATACTAAGCGGAGATGTAATCCTAACACTAAGGTCAATTTTGCGTACGACCTCAAGAATGTAAGATGGCAAGATCTGTATTGTATGAATGGTACTCAGAGTCAGTTCAAATTTTATCAAATCAAGGAATACCATCATACCATTTCTGACCTGGTCAGATTGCCACAAATAGGTCATTTAAGGTCATTAAGATCAAGTATTTTATGGTATCTTAAAAATTACATAATTGCCGTATTTTACATTAGAACCATACCCAGGCTCTCACAGAATTCAAAATCTTTACTATAAACTACAATATTTCATTTGAGGTCATTCTGGCAGCCATCTTGAATTTCAAAATTGCTGCCACGCAAATCCTTTATTTATCAATATATCAGTTTTTAAACCATTTTAATGAGAATTATGATGTCTAAAATTATATTTCATGGTCAAGGATTTATAACACTTGTGACATGGTCAGATCATGGAGGTATTATTGAGGAGATCACTCGAAAAAGCTAAGCGCACGCAGCGCCATGAAAATGTACCAAGATCAAAGCTGCCGCAGCGCGTGAAGAACGTTTGCGCGATGCCTTTGATGTCCCATGTGTTCCCCACCATCAAATTTTCAGCATGCATAGTTTACCAAAAAATTGAACATGGCGAAATGGAGAGCACCATTTTTTCTCGATGTGCACTACATACAGTCAATCACTATGGCTGCGCAATCGTTTCCATTTTGAAGCTGATACATTTATCTCTCATAAAATATCAAACATATTAATATTTTCCACCAAAAAAAGTGTCGAATTTAATGGAACATTTACATGACCTTTAAACGTGTAGTATATTTCAACTTCAATTTTCATAAATTGGCCAAAATTCGCTAATTCTAATTTTAACAAATATTAATTAATAAATGATTGAGTATTATAATAAACTAAGTAATTTTAGGGTTAACGAGGGTTAACTATTCGAAAAATCAATCTAAAATTAGAGTATTTTTCAGTTTTACGCTGCCTAAGCTGAATGCAGGGTAGCGTAAATCATTATTCGCGTTGATTATGTGTTACCAACACGTCTGGTTTAGGTTAATGTGCGTTCGCGCACAGGCGTTTATCTTACTTTTAACCATTTTTACGAAGCAACTTTAGACTTTTAATTTTATGTCAATTCAGCTAATAATGGATGGGCCAGTAAGTATTTCAAATCATTTTTTATTAGACTCTTTTGATTACTATCAGCAGCATTTGATCAAGGCAATGGTGTAGAATAAGTAATAGGCCTATACAAATCATATTAAATTAATCAAATATTAATTGAGATTTTTTTTTTAATGTGTGGGATTGAAGGAAACTTTAGATTCTTGTTTAGATGTAGTGCCACGAAAAGAAGTAGGTCTGATGGTAGGTTTGGCTTAAAAAGAGGGACTTACTAATTTAGCCAAGTAGGCCTAGCTTATATGTTACGAATGTATGGTTCCACCCTTAAGCTCTATTACTATGTACATTGTACTATCAATGTGATGTGTATGAAATGCTCTACAACAATTTTAATTAATACTAATAGGCAATATGGGACGTTTTTCGGGATATTTTTTTCCGGATATTTACTATTAAGAGATTTACACTATCAATATTCAACTGTTTTGCTATTTAGATATTAATAATGAATGATGGAACAATTTCGAGCCTCAAGCCACCATTGTATACATTATCAAATTTTATGTGACAAAAATGTGATGTATCACATAGGCTTATTTTATCAAATTGTATTATTTATTTATCTATTTATTCCACTTTCTTTTATGAGGGTAGCTCTTACAGCGAGGCTGACTCAACGAAACCCTCATAACAAATACATTTCCTAATTTTTGAAAATTTTTTATTTATTTTAAAATACTTACTACTCATTTTATTCCTTAAAGAATACGCAATCAACCTACACTTGTCGAGTATGTGGAGGTGAATTCTATCTGGAATGCAGAAGAGGTTATATTATAACCTCTTCATTGCATTTGGAATTGATGTTGATAACGACCCATCGCATTTCCCTAAGTTTATTTGCAACACATGCCTTACAAAGATATGGAAATTTCACTTTCGACATAACCAAAACCATAGGATCCAGTATATCGGGCGCCTAGCCAATTTTGATATTTGACACAATTGTAAACAAAAAGTTCGGTTTACTTTCCTTGTTTCCTGATACTTTAAGAAGAAATGATCTGGTCAATCTTCTCTGTTTTATACACGACAACCCATGTGTTTAGGGTGTCCTGACCACACTGAGTTCGGGCACTGGAAGAACTGTACATATCAGGCAGATATATGCATTAGTGATGGGCATAACACGTTTTCTTCAACTGTGAGGCACTTAAATTGTGAAGGCTTTTCCGAAAATGTCAAATGTAAAGTGTGCAAGATGATGAGTGATGACTTTAAGCGATGTATGGGAACAACAAATGCAATCCTTGTAAAGGGGGAAACAGATGCGTTGGCATCCTGCAATCTTGAGGTGGTGCATTGCCATCAATTCGAAGTCTCCTAAGGCCTACAAAATTATTAGAGACAGTAACTTCCTGAAATTACCTGCTGCGTTTACTCTACGAAAGTATACACATTTTATGGAGCCAAATATAGGATTCAACACATCTGTTCTTCAAAACTTGTACGAAGAGAACAAAATGGAATCATATGAGGACTTTCAAAGGAACGTCGTTCTGCTTTTTGATGAAATGAAAGTATACAGCCAAAAGAGTGGTCGTATCATTGGGTTTATCGATGTCGGTGACATTGCCAAAGAAATGAGTGATTTCAAACGGCGTTGCGATTCAAAAGAAGCGCCAATCGCCACACATGTACTTGTCGTGATGGTAAGAGGAATATTTACATCACTGAAAGCACCGATTGCTTACTTTGCAACCAATTCTGTGAGTGCACATGAACTATACCCTGTACTTTGGGAGAGCGTTCATGTTGTAGAAATGATGGGTTTAAGGGTTCGAGGAATGGTGTCAGATGGGGTGTCATCCAAGAGAACCTTTTACAGGTTACATAAGTGTAATCTATCTCAAAAACTAAATAATTTTAATTTTTTTGCAGTACCTATTTTATGATCCTTACAGCATGCATCTCCAAAACCAGCTCCACATTTATTCCACAAACCAGTTTATCACAGAGCAAGTGTTAGCTCCAGGAAATCTAGATATGATTTTAGGCATTTCAGTTCCTTTGCTTATGTCCTACAAATTGTCTTAGTTTAATTTGTTTTTGTTTTTTTTTTTTCTGGTATTTTGAACACATGAGTGGAGTCAATTTTAAAAATGTTATGTTCAACTGAACATGTTTCCATTGAAGTTGTTCATTCATAAATGGCTCCCAACATTTTTTTTTTATGTCCTCCACATTATATATCATCCCATTCATCATTTATTTTGCAATAAACTACCCTTTAAATTCTTTAACCCACCCTTATTTTGTTGTTACTTATGATCTCTTGATTTTTAGAATGTTACATCTTTTAGGCTACTGTATGATTTGTAAAGCCAAATATTATTATCAACAATGTACTACTGTAGCAATACAAAATAATTTCATTTTCACTTCATTTTGGAAATTTATAATTTTATTAGTAGTATACATGTTCATATTCTTATTTGATTGGCTTTGCTTGCTGCTGTTTTAATGAGATAAAAATAGGATATGAATTACCAATCATATGATGAAAAAAGCTGTCTATCTTGCAACATGTTTACCACATAGTAGTTTAGGTGATTTTAAACCGGTAAATAAACTCCATGATACAGACTGATGTTTCAGTGGCCGTATTTACTGTACTATTGCTTCTTTATTATTATTATTATTATTATTATTATTATTATTATTATTGCTTCTTTATTATTATTATTATTGCTTCTTTATTATTATTATTGCTTCTTTATTTTTTTTATTTATTGTTTCTTTTTTGATTTGTAACCAGTAATGTCCTGCAGTATTTGCCATGTATGTCTGGAATCATTCCTCCTGAAGGTAGACTCAGCTTGGACTTGTAATCTTGTTTACATTTTGAAATCTCTTTGTCAATCTCTTTCTGCTTCTTTTTAACCAGGTATCGATATTTTTTTTTTTGCACATGCAGTACTTTCTTCCTTAAGTAAAAGTTTGAGTCTCCTTGAACACCATGGTTTGTTGTTAGGAAAAATTTTAATTGTATATTTTGGAATTGTGATATCAACACAAAAATTTATGTAGCTAGAGATTGCTTCCACAGATTCACAAAAGGAATGGTCACTTTCAAAGCTACCCCAATCTGTATTTTCCAGCATGTTTTTCAAATCTTCTTTTGCATCATCACTCCATTTCCTTTTAACTTGTTATACCGCCTTTTGCACATAATTAGGCATCATCAATACATTGTTATGGTCTGAACAACCCAACTGAGGGCACACTTTCGCTTGATATTTGAAATGGGAGTTCCCATAACAATTATCTAGTATTGCTTGATTTCTGGTGGGCTTGTCCACATGTTATGTAAAAGATGGTAGACTGCGACTTAAATCACATATAGTATTTCATAACTGGATCTGGGATCTATCCTTCATGGTCTTACATAATTGTAATCTATCTCAAAAACTAAATAATTTTAATTTTTTTGCAGTACCTATTTTATGATCCTTACAGCATGCATCTCCAAAACCAGCTCCACATTTATTCCACAAACCAGTTTATCACAGAGCAAATGTTAGCTCCAGGAAATCTAGATATGATTTTAGGCATTTCAGTTCCTTGTGCTTATGTCCTACTAATTTTCTTAGTTTAATTTTTTTTTTGTTTTTTTTTTTCTGGTATTTTGAACACATGAGTGGAGTCAATTGTAAAAATTGACTCCACTCATGTTTCCATTGAAGTTCATTCATAAATTGCTCCCAACATTTTTTTTTATGTCCTCCACATTATATATCATCCCATTCATCATTTATTTTGCAATAAACTACCATTTAAATTCTTTAACCCACCCTTATTTTGTTGTTACTTATGATCTCTTGATTTTTAGGAAAATGTTACATCTTGTAGGCTACTGTATGATTTGTAAAGCCAAATATTATTATAAACAATGTACTACTGTAGCAATACAAAATAATTTCATTTTCACTTCATTTTGGAAATTTATAATTTTATTAGTAGTATACATGTTCATATTCTTATTTGATTGGCTTTGCTTGCTGCTGTTTTAATGAGATAAAAATATGATATGAATTACCAATCATATGATGAAAAAAGCTGTCTATCTTGCAACATGTTTACCACATATTTTTGTTTTAAATATCAATTTCAAAAGGTCAATATGACGTAATAACTTCTGAAGACCCTGATGTTGGATTATTTGGTGAGTTTTTATTTTCAATTAACTTGGTTGATACATTTTGAGAATATTATATTTGTCAATATAAAACTGATTGACATTTATTTATTTAATTGGTATTTGTGGGGGTGGTTTTTTTTTTCCAAAACTTTTTTAGAAAAGTTTATTTTCTATATGTAAGTTTAAACACTGTAACAATACAAAGTAATTTCATTGTCACTGTATTGTGGAAATAATGATAGAAATTATCTTTTATACGGTATTCATATTTTTATTTGATTGGGCTTTTCATGCTGTTGTTCTAATCCCATGTCCTGGATTCAATTCCTGCCACAGTAACAAAGATTTTTCTCACAAATAAAACACGAACCTCACTAAACCTCATAATGAGACTTATGCAGAGCATCTTGTCTTGTTTGTCTTGTGAAGGGATAAGCAATTTAAAAAGAGTTTATATAAGTTTGCTGTTTGACATATCTGTCCTTCAGCCTAAACCAATTATTAAAATTAATGTTTTAATGAGACAAAGGCATGATATGAATTAACAATCATTTGATGAAAAAAGTTGTCTCACTTGCATTAACTTTTCCATATATTTTTTTAAAATAGGAAATAGGATTTATAATTGTGTCACTCTTTCAAAGGAAAATCTAAGTTAATTCTTAAATATAATTCTAAAAACAGTGATGTTGCATTATATAGTGAATTTACTATGTTTTAATTTCAATTAATTTGGGTATTACATTTTGTTATATATTATTTTTAGAAATATTAAGCTGGGATTTTTCCTAAACATATTATATTCTCTGAACATTTTAAAGGAAAATCTAAAGTAATTCCTAAGTATCCTCCTGAACAACTTGATGTTGGATTATCTGGTGAGTTTACTTACGTTTTTATTTTCAATCTTGGTTAATACATTTTGCTACACTGTATTAAACCGATTGTCATGTATTAACTTGTATTATTTTTATTTTTGTTTTACCAAAACTTGCAATTTCTTGAATTTTAGAAAAATTTAGCCTATATAAAGTAAAATGAAAATCAATCTATTACATTTTTATGATTCAGCACTGTAATAATACAAATATTTTCATCATCACTGCATTGTGGGAATTTTAAAAAAGCTTTTTGGATTCATATTTATTTTTGATTGGCCATGCTGGCCATTCTGTCAACATTTTAAAATGAGACCAACAATTTTAATTATGAATCATTTGGTGAAGCTAAAATGCTGTCTGACTTTAACATGACCATATATTTTTCTCTTAAAATAGAAATGAAAAAATTATCAATAGACTCATCATCTAAAATGCCGAAAGGATATTTTACAAGTCTTAAATATCCTATTTTCGAGGAACCTGAATTGGTTTATAGTAAGTTTACTTTTTTTTTTTCATTTAACTTGGTTGATATATTTTGAACATATTACTGTATTTTCACCTAAATGGCCTTAAATTGGTTGATGTTTTAATATAATATTTGTATAGTGGGAGTTTCATTTGGAAACAAGGAATAGAAGATCTAACATATATTCAATTATAAAGCTACCGTAAAACCTCGAATTGAAGCCCAATGTGCTTAATATCGAGACGGAGCCCATCTCAAATTGAAGCTCCCTTTTTTGGTTTGCAAAAGTAGCCTCGAATATGGGCTTCTTTTCAAGATAGCATGACATAACATGTACATACATTGTACATGAATTTCAAAGAAACAAAATAAATTAAAAACATGCTTGGTTTATACAGTAGTTTAGGTGATTTTAAACCGGTAAATAAACTCCATGATACAGACTGATGTTTCAGTGGCCGTATTTACTGTACTATTGCTTCTTTATTATTATTATTATTATTATTATTATTATTATTATTATTATTATTATTGCTTCTTTATTATTATTATTATTGCTTCTTTATTATTATTATTATTGCTTCTTTATTTTCTTTATTTATTGTTTCTTTTTTGATTTGTAACCAGTAATGTCCCGCAGTATTTTCCATGTATGTCTGGAATCATTCCTCCTGAAGGTAGACTCAGCTTGGACTTGTAATCTTGTTTACATTTTGAAATCTCTTTGTCAATCTCTTTCTTCTTCTTTTTAACCAGGTATCGATATTTTTTTTTTGCACATGCAGTACTTTCTTCCTTAAGTAAAAGTTTGAGTCTCCTTGAACACCATGGTTTGTTGTTAGGAAAAATTTTAATTGTATATTTTGGAATTGTGATATCAACACAAAAATTTATGTAGCTAGAGATTGCTTCCACAGATTCACAAAAGGAATGGTCACTTTCAAAGCTACCCCAATCTGTATTTTCCAGCATGTTTTTCAAATCTTCTTTTGCATCATCACTCCATTTCCTTTTAACTTGTTATACCGCCTTTTGCACATAATTAGGCATCAGCAAAACATTGTTATGGTCTGAACGACCCAACTGAGGGCACACTTTCGCTTGATATTTGAAATGGGAGTTCCCATAACAGTTATCTAGTATTGCTTGATTTCTGGTGGGCTTGTTCACATGTTATGTAAAAGATGGTAGACTGCGACTTAAATCACTTTGGTTGAGATCGCCCAAGAAAAATTTTGGGGCATCAGGTGCTTTTGTTTCAAGTTGATGAAAACATGTTGCGATACATTCCTCCTCCTCCTCCTCCTCACTTTTATGTGAGAATGTTTAATACTTGCTTATCTATATCTTTTATATTGTATTATTTGGTTATTTATTTTTGACAATAGAAAGTCATATTATTAATTGAGTGTCATGATTATCGATGTATATGAGACAGGCAAAAGTGTCATTTGCAGGTATCTATTATTGGTACTACATCCCTTAAAACATTGGCAGCCATATTGGGCCTGAGGCGGGTGTAGCTGAGGTGCAAATCTTTTATGTAGTACTCCTAGATGCCTGGAAACGCCTAATACCTGTATGCATCGATAAGCAAGTATGGAAAAAAATATTTTAAAAATCTGGCACATCAGCCTGAAAGCTTACTTTTTATCTTTTACCAATGATTTATTGTTATTTCTGTCCACTTAAAACTATTTTGGAAAACACTAGGTAGGGGAGGGGGAGTTAGACCAGGCTCGTAAAATTGGGGTTTTTATTTATGTGAAATCTTTCTTAAAAATGACCTGTAGAGTGCACTATTTCCATGTTACCTGAGGTTGCAAGAATTCATCATGTTTTTGGTTGGTATAAATGGTATTTTAAAATTCTGTTTGATATAGGTGACCTAAGAGGCTATGTAGCAAAGATGTTACACAGAAAAACGTTTTATGGGAAGGATGAAGGCTTGTTCAAAGAAAAAGAACGTAAAAAAGAATATTTCACTCAATCACAATCCATTGGACCAAGTTTCATTAAATCAAGTCAAGGTGAGTTTTTAAGTTTCTTTTTTTTGACAATTGTCTTCCGACCTTATGACCATCAATACCTGTCATTTGTGTGTGAATCTTTGTTGTGTTGTGTGAATGTTCTTTAATTGTTGGAGTTAATATTTGTAATTAATTATAGGCTTCTTACAGTATCAACAGTGTGCAAATGAAACATTGTTTATTTTCATTTGTCCCAAACTTGACCAATGTCTTTTGGAAAATACTGTGCTATATATTATTATTGATAAATTTAACTTAATTTAAGTATAGAATTTAAGACAAATGTAGGCTGATTTTTATCATAGCAGCTTAATATGTCAGCTCCCAAACCACAATTTAAAAAAATACTGTGAGTTTCAAAACTTGGACTGTGATATATCATAAGTAATACTGTATTATGTATTGATTGAAATACAGTATTATGTGAATTGTGAGTTCCTGACAAATCAATCAACATGACCAAAATATTTCATTTTTCAAGTTTTCTCAACTGATGATAATAAGCCAAAAATTGAGTGCATTCCTTGTGGGACTGTCTCAGCTGATAAATTCATGCCAGTGTCTCTCGTAAAGTTCATGCCTTGTCTTGGTCTTGCACTGTGTATGGATAACATTATGGGTTCCATACATTATATCATTTCATACAAAAAGGAAGATGTCTTCCTCTGTGCTTACAGCCTCTCTACCCAAGCCAACACACCAACCTGACTATGTTGTATTGTGGAGCTAATAGTTGTAGCTTCTTTTTAAATCTTTAAATAAAAAGTCATAGCTAATTTTATTGTTTGTTCTTTCAAATAAAATTTTTCATAGGCAGAAAATTACTGTGTGCTTGAAGGCCATTGAACTTAAATGTATTTAGATTGCAACTTGGTCTATACCCAAACAAAGTTTATTATATTATAAAAAAAATATGCACAAATATTTTTGGAAGGCAATTACTCGTAATCATCCCTGACTCCAGGAATACCTCATATTAATTAATATAAATGCGATAGATACTGGACACTGTTAGTTTCAATATTTTCCAAATAAGTCCAATCCCATTTTTGGCTGATATGATAAATCAAATCTTCCCCCTCCCTTTATTGTCCAGAGAATATTTTCTATGCTCCTTCCATGGTTTTCTCGCACTTTGATGTTGGTTTTGCTTTTTCATGCTTTTTCTATTTTGTATGTCACCTTTGTATGTAATTTACTGTATTTGTTTGTGTTGTCATTTTTATGCCATTTTAATATTTTTCTTTTGTAAATCCTTATGCAATTCAGCCTTCTTGCTGCTATGTATGTTTTTATTATTGAATTTTCAATAAATATACCTCAAATAATAATAATATTAATAATAACATCTTTGAATAGTATGTTGTTTCTCTTTTCAGATATGGATGACAGTGAACCATCAGTCGCACACGAGCTGCCGAGTAAAGGTACAATTAAATATGAAAGTCACATAGAAGACATATGTAAATCACTAAGGATGTTTAGTCAGGTCATATTCCCCCGTAAGAAGGTCATATGCCCCTGTAAGAAGGTAATCTCAGAATCAGATGATCAGATCATTCGACTGATGAGTGGAAAAGTAAATCGGATGATAAAGGATTCAAAAACTGAATTGAAACAATCATCTGAAGACATTGGCAAAATGTTTGCTCATGTTTTAATTGCTGTACAAGATGAACAAAATGTTTTAGAGGAAATCCATGAATTATGTACTAATGATATTGTCAGTAGTTTATCAACTGAATGTAAGAAATTAAATTTCAAATACGATATTACAAGGTACTACAAACGTAGTTTAAAATCAATTAATATATCATTTTTAATTCATCTGCTGTGTAGTGCACCAGCACTTGAGTTACTTCGTTTGATATGTTGTGATATAAAAGGTGTTAATGTGAATGATATTGCTGATACATTGTATCAAGAAGGAGTTGTGTTGCAATTAACAGATCTTAATATCAGTGAAAATAACCTCAATGAAATCAAAGGTTCCTCACTTGCCACTTTGCTTGCTGTAGCTCCTAAGCTGAATGGTCTTAACATGATTAATTGCCGTATCCCAGGTGCTGTAATGGATGATATGGTTAAAGAGTGTTTTAGTAGGGGAGTTGTGTTGGAATTAACAGATCTTAATATCAGTGGAAATAACCTCATTGACATCAAAGGTTCCTCACTTGCCACTTTGCTTGCTGTAGCTCCTAATCTGAATTATCTTCGCATGAGTAATTGCAGTATCCCAGGTGCTGTAATGGATGATATGGTTAAAGAGTGTTCTAGTAGGCGAGTTGTGTTGCAATTAACATGGCTTGATATCAGTGGAAATAACCTCAATGAAATCAAAGGTTCCTCACTTGCCACTTTGCTTGCTGTAGCTCCTAATCTGAATTATCTTGGCATGAGTAATTGCAGTATCCCAGGTGCTGTAATGGATGATATGGTTAAAGAGTGTTCTAGTAGGCGAGTTATACTTCATATATAGTAGAAAAATTAATTGCAATCAGGTAGCAAGTTTTGTAGAGGTGTTTAATGCGTGTTTAATTAATTTGTATTTTTAATATTTCTTAAATACATAATACACATGATGCTATTACAAGGAAGTTATGGTTTTTATATTGATACAATTTTATTTATTGTTTTCTGATTTGCATTATCAAGAATGATTACCATTGGATAATATCGGACATGGCCTAGAACTAAATTAATCGGCAGCTGTAACTGAACATAGAGTTAAGATATAAGGCAGTTTGATAATTTCTTGAGAGTTAAAATACAGTAATACAATAATTGTATTCATCATCATGTTTAGTTGTAAATCAAACCATTTAGTGGAAACCGTAAAAGTAGTAATATAAAATATGATTTACATAGCACATATATCCACTTAAGAAGTGCTCATGATGCTAGATATGGAAACATGGAAAAAAACCAGAAAGCTTGGAAATTAACCCATGAAATGTCCTAAACTAACACCAGTAAAAAATAAGCAGAAGAAGCAATTTGACACACTCAATGCAATGAGGGTGCTAGTTTCTGGCTCTCTTAGCCAATTTAAACATATGTAACACTATACATACAGTAATAGTAGAACAACAGAACTAGAGTGAGGTGCTTAACAATGCATAAAGATCATGCTGCATGGCATGTTGTACTGAATGTGGTGCGGAATTTTTTTAATTCAGGTTTACCGGTGATACTATCATGAATCACAAACCGTTTCTGTATGATTACTCACATTATCCTTTCTTCTACATAATCAACTGATCACCATGTTCCATTTCTGGTATTTGAATCTTTGCAAATTTTC